CCAAAAAAAAAAAAAAAAAAAAAGAAAAGTGTATAAACTAACTAGAAAACGAAGGAGATTTTTTTTCCCTTGGCAAAATTTCAAGGATGGTATTTCCAGAGGACAAATGTACACCAACAACCAAAGTACATCCATGAATCAAAGATATAATAGAAAAACAATGAGACGTGGAAAAGGATAAATTTCTCTGCAGATATACGTAGTTTATCATAGACATTTAAGACAAAACTCACCAAATTGTACAAATAAGGACGCGGTTAGAAATAAGATAAACTATAATTTTAGTTCTTGTATTCTTGAAGAAAAGGGCTTCACAAGAATATATACCAACCAAGAAGTTTAAAAAAGGCTCTAAAATTGGCTAACAAAACAGAAGAGGGATTACAATAAAAGACAACTTGACTTCAAAGATCAAAGAATCATAATATAAATAGCATCCTTCCAAAGCTAATTGCAAGAGCAAGACCTCTCTTCACAAAAATTTCTACCACTTTACTCCAACCAAATGACCCCTAAGAGCATCTTCCAACATTGATCAACAAGGTTTTTCTACTTGAGATTAAAATGCAGGTCCAAAATGAATTCAAAGGTCATCAACTTGGCCAAAGAATGTAGAACACTAGCCACATCAAAAACCCTCAGAAACTTAGCCAACAAATTGAGCACCATGAGACTAGAACAGAAAAGATGGTCGGCGTTCTCCCACGATCTTCTAGCGAGGACGCACAAAAGAAGCACTAGGAATGAGCCTTTTTTTTTTATAATAAGGCCATATAATGCAAGAAGCATCGAAAAAACTCACTTTTCTAAAACACCTTCTGCTTTGTGCTTCCAAAAGACTATAAAAATGCCTAGGGAGCAAGCAAAACAGAGCAATGTCCAAGCTATTAGTCTTATTACCATTAACAGTCTCTATTTAAGTTGAACTAATTAACTGGAAATCTTTCTTGAATCCTTTTAACTCCTTCCTAACCATTTCAACATTGTCCCTCCAACATCACAAGCAAAATGGTGCTTGATGCTTGAATCTTTCTGGATTCGTCATACGCAGATTGCCGAGATAATAGGTATGTTTCTCTTCTTACTTGGAAATCTAATCTTTGGATGGAGATTCTTGCAGAAAAAATGGTCATTTCATGATCGATATCAAATCATATTCCCAGCCCAACATTTCAACGCATTTCCCCCGACCACATTTATTATAGTCTGGGAAGAAAACAAGGAAGAATTCCTGCAGTAACTCACCGGCGTACATTCGCACAGTCTCCATTCTCGCCACTTCTTTTGCCAGCGACGATAGCTCCTTCCCCAGCACCCCATCAGCTATTCCCAATCCTGTAACAGATCAACGAGCAGAGATCTCAATCTCAATCTCAATCACGAAAAATTACATACAGTACCATGCAGCTAACCATAATTCCGTGTATAAATAAATCAACGAGCAAGCAAGCTGCACAAACCTTGTGTGGAACTCAGAGCGCGAGTAAGCGATTCAAGACCGACCAATTTTCCATTAACATCTCCAAGGAGGCCATGAAGACGATCGGAAAACGAAGAGTGGGAAAGAAGAGTATGTCCGAGGCTCCGATTGAGATCGAGTAGAGACAGATTCAATTCGTGGCACTGATTTTGAAGATCGGTGACGAGGGCCGGAGCTTGCGCTAGGGTTTCGTTGTTGTATAGCTGACGATCGAGGAATGAGAGGACTGAGGACGAAACCTCTGAAGGAGCAGGAAGAGCTTTGAGCTCGCCCATGATTGATGCCAACGGAGTGAGAATTGTGAGAGCCAAATCACGATGAACAAAACTGGATTCAAGATTCTCTGATTAAATTTCTTACAGAAATTGATGATTACAGATGAATCGACTTTGGTTAGATTGAGATGATCACATTCTGTAATCCACTTCCCCGACGAACGAAAATCGCAGATGAGAGAGACGAAGAAATGAACGGAAGAGAAGGCTATTTTCGTAAATGTGTAAAGGCTATTTTCGTAAATGTAAAATCAAAATCGAGGTGTGTTCTAATTGGACTGGGAGGCGAGACTAGTTATCAGGTCAGAGAGACGCCAAGTATCACGGTCATGCTTGCCTAAGGCGTGTTATCTATGACCGCATGTCGGATGTCCAGGTCATACTTGCGTGTTATCTATGACCGCATGTCGGATGTCCAGGTCATACTTGCGTGTTATCTATGACCGCATGTCGGATGTCCAGGTCATACTTGTTCAGAATGTGTTGTCAATAGTTGCATGTTCGTTCTCAACCCCCTTCTACATGTTTTCATTTTAGATAGTTCTTTATTATTTCGTCTGTCTACAGCTCACCAGGTTAAAAATGCCCAAAATGTATTATAAGGGATGCGACTAGTTATCAATTTTTACTGCTCCAATTATATGATATTTAAGCCGTGGAGTTTTTATTTAATTATAGTCATATAACGACTTTCAAACTTTCTTCAAGTTCTCTTCGGTCATGTTTTCTAAGACATTAGTCGCAAATATGATTCGAGGCCCGAGTAAATGCTGACGTTATACTTGATGTTCGAATTTCTTACTGTTGGCTTATTCGCTAGGTTAGAACTGCACCATCGTTATCCACTGTTCTAAGAGTGCAATTGTGACAGTTAACCGACGATATAGATAAATTCAAGAATTTTAAAATTAATTAATATATTATATTTAAATTTTAAAAAAATGAAAAAAAATACAACATTAAATTGATAATTTAAATAATTGAGGAATGAAATAACATAGAAATTGGTTTAATTTATATATATATATATATATAATTAAGACTGTATCAACTACTGCGTGCACCCACCAGAAGCGAGCGGCGGAGCGATGGCGGCGTTTCGGTCTGCATTCGATGCCGGAGAAATGAGAACCGAGTTCGAGAAGGCCGGCATCAAATCGACCTTCATCCCCTCCATTTGGAAGCAGTTGATTCATGATTCAAACAACCTATTGAACCAAAATATGGCATCCGAATTCCAATGGGAGAAAGCCGTGCCTTCGCTGCCATCGGCGGCTTACTCCTTGCTCCGGTCAAAGTTTAAGCCTCTTACTTCCACCGTCAATACCGTCGTCGATTCCTCCGATCAGGCCACCACCAAACTCCTTATCAAGCTTCAGGTACCCTCCTCTTCCTTCCGCCCCCCCTTTCTCTTTTGGGAAAAGTTCGATGTTCACCCTAAATTTATCGGAATGAATCAATTTTTAACGTCAATTTCATCAACTAAAATACTGAACATAAATAAATTGGTGATAATACAAACCTATGCAGATTTTTCAAATCTTGTTTGTGTTTTTAATTAGTTGGGCCTAAGCACTCTATTGCTAAGGAGCGTTTACTATCTGCTTGATTGTGTGGAAATTCAAGTATTTTCCTGATATAATTTGAGCTTAACTCGTTTTTTTTTTTTTTTTTTGTTTGGTTAGATGAATTGTGTGTACTTTTTTGGTAGGTTCGTTAGCAATTTTCAAAGTTCTATTAGATGAAACGGAAAGCTTTTAAAATCGACTCACCCACTTATGACTTGAGTTTATGGATAAATTTGAATTTCTCTCTTTTACTCTCATCCATCTGTGAAAGGTTTGGCGATTTGGACAATTTAATGATTATAGTTCAAATCAAGTAGTGGGTTTCTGTTGATTTCTGCAGTACTCTTCCGGTTATAATCGTTCTTTCAAATATCTTCGATGTTGTTAATCCTACCCCATGCCTTTATGCCTAGATCTTAGTTTTTTCCCCTCATGTTGTTAGAGTGGGGCTCTTGTGGAGGCTGTCATCATGAGGTATGATTCTCGTCTGGGAAAATATGGCGACAAACCTCGACCAGGTGGTCTGCGGTCTACTCTCTGTATTTCTTCGCAGGTTTTGATTTCTTCATCAGCATTGTCAGCATCCTCTGATTTTGTTTTTTTTTTTTTTTTTTTTTTTTTTTTTTTTTTTTTTTTTT